ACTCTAGCTTCTTTATTGATTTTTTGATTTTTTCCCCCCTCCCTTAGAGTTCTCTTTTTCTTATAATTCATATGGCTTTTGTATTCCAAGAGGGTCATTTGGCTTGTTATAATGTGTATATTGAATTCCCCAAGCCTCGACTTAAATATATATGTATAATGAAATCTTACAAGTCTTCTCTTTAATTGTTGGACTAAGACATATATTTATAGAACAAAATTTAGGGAAAATCCTTATTTAAATTAGTTTTCACAGAGAGTTTGAAAAGAAAAATGAAACAATTTCATTTTTCAATTGGACCAATTTTCTCATTACCTTTAGTTCTCCATCTTCTAATAAAAGTAATTAGGTCCTCTTCATCCCAAAAATGCGAGTTCTAAAATTTGTAATTTAGTCAACTTGCAAAATATCGAATTTAACTCCCGAATTTAGGAGTTATTTGAGTCCCATTTTTCTCAAAAAAAAAAAATGCACTCTGAATAGTGTTCTGATGGAGAATGTATGGTTAAATAAAGAAAAGTTTTAAATTTGCATGTAATATTATTTTATTAAAAAATGTGTGGTTGAAATGATATCAAATCACTATTAAAGAATGTATTTTGAGGAAAAAGTGGGACTCAAATAGGGGCTTATAATTTTTTATTGAATGCTCCACTAATACTTTCAATTTATTATTTGCAATTCAGTTAATCTTCAATTGTTCCTAATCAAATTCAATTAATCTTCAAATAGCCATTTATCAAGTTTGGATTTTCCCTATACTTAACATAATTTATGATTTACATAAATTGTATAGATAATCATGCAATTTGTATATAATTTAATAAGAATAATAAGATACACTTATCAAATACCTTCAAATTCAAATTCTTGTTCGTCCCGAACAAAAAGACTATCTACTAAACACGCAATCAACTAAATAAAAAAAACAACATTAAATAACTTTGCCACTAGCATCAAGTATTGAAACTGTTTGAAAATTAAAAAAAAAAAGTTCATAAATAATGCAACTAAAACTAATTTTCTACTTGTTTTATGCTTGATCGATGCTTGTGTGTGTGCATTGTCAATCTTATCATCATGAATTTTCAAGTTGATTATTTCTCAAATCTAAAAGGGTAAATATTTCTTTCTCTCTTGAGTGATGCTCACCCCAAACTTTATTTTTCAATCACATTCCTGAGATGTATATTCTATGTTGAATGCACAATACCCATTCATTTTCCATTCACGTTTGGTTAGGTTTTATCAATAAAAGTCACTATCTTAATATGTGATGATTCTTTCTAAATTTGAATTTATCAACATCCAAAAATCAACTAAGATAATTTTCTACACCAGAAGTGTAAATTCAAATTAAGTATCCAAGATTTAGCTAGACAGAAACATTGATTATAGTTACTCTGTCACTGCCTTGAGACTCTTTGGAGTGTTTTTCTTTTTCTTTTTTTCATTGTGTACCTTCTTATGTTTTTGAAATCCTTTTTTGTTTTCAAAAGTAGTTTTCACTCTACATTGTAGGCAGCCTTCTTTTCGATTAATCAAAACTAGTTTCACACAATAATGTAGGTAACTTTTTCCTATGTGCCACAACTAGTGCCATGACTCTTTTTTTTTTGGATACATAATTAAAATTAAAACCCTAGTATATGGTTACAACCTAAATTCTACTTTGGAGCTAAAATATTTCACTCAAATATTCAACACATAAGGAATCACTCACTTATCTAAATAGCTTCAACACTGGATCAATCAGTCAAACTATCATTGCAGTTAATAGGTTGTGTTAAATATTATGATCTTGGTTTGTAAAGATCCAAATTCATTCAATTTAACCAATCTAAAATAAATGACAATCATCATGATCATTGTGCTCAATATAATATGATATAACATGAATAAGTATCAAATTAACAAAGAATTACATCACCTAGTCACAATTTATGCATCATAAATAACTTCAAATACTCGTCAATTAGCTTCTAGGCTATCCAACTCCCACAAATACACATAAAATCAAATTTATTTATTTATTTAATCAAAATTTTCAATTTTTTTTTATCATATCACACAAACAAGCAATTATACCTAACTAACTAATCTACACCCCAAATTTAAAATACAAACTATCCTCAATGTGTACACAGAATAGGCTTAAAAAAGTTTAGCAATACTTATTGTGTATATGTATTCCTAATTTAACACTTGATCTTTTATCTTCATTTAATATCATTTTTTTGCTGGTTTTATAAAATATTTTCGTTATACCTAAAGAGAAAGAGGAAAAATAATTAATAATATACTCATGTGCAAGTTTATGCTAATTAATTTTGAAATGAGGATTGTAACCCAGTTATTACCTAAAAATAAAAAGAAGAGTTTTATCTTTTCCTTTTTTTTATTTTTTAAAAAATAAATTTTCGAATTAAAAAAATCAATTTTATAAAGAAAGTAAAAGAATAAAGAAAAGAAGAAGCGTGCGGATCGTAACAAGTTATAGAATGGACCTAACAATTGGATATCATTCCCATAAGAACTACTATTTCATTGTTGGTTTAATTATTCCTAACTTCAATTTGATGATCTCAAATAAAAATATCTTTTTGTGATTTTTATTCTAAATCTGTGAAAACAAGAAGTGAGTTTCTTTAATAATGGTTTAAGTATTAGATTTACGAGTTTAACATGGTATCCCTTAGTTGACGGTCATTATTTGGTAAAAACAAAGTTTTGGATAGTGAATTTTTGCAGAATGTGTGGTTAAAATATAGGAAAAATATTTGATTTATGTGCAAAATATTTTATTGTGAATGGTTTAAAATAAGTATATAGTATAAAGAATTTTGAAATAGAGATTTAATCTCGATTACCAATTTTTATAATAATTAACTATGTGTACTTTGTCAAATTCTTTTAATGTATTCAATTTACCTCTGTCAACTTCAAATTGATTATATTTAACTAAGTCATTTACATATCTCTATGTGAAACCAGATAAACCGTTATTAAATGTCTTAAAATTCTAAAAATTCATGTTATTACCGCAACAAAGATAAAGTGTATCTCCGCTTCTTTGTTCAAATTGCAGGATTTTACTACATGGACTAAATGAATAATCCGCTTCTCGCGTAATTATGGCTTACAAATCAATGAACTAGTAGCGAATTAATTCAAATCAATAAGAATGGAAGTAAAAATAATTTACATTAATTGGAGATTTAAAATTTTTAATTAAAAATAAGGTTCAAAACTAGGTTGTAATTATTCATCCTAATTAATTACTTAATTGCGCATCATGGGAGAAAAATAAAACAAAAAATAATGAAAATACATCATTGGATATTAAGGAAAAAGGGGAAACAGATAAATGTTTTGTAGGAAGAATTCTCCCTTCTTGTTAAAATTTTGAAACCCTAGATTTTTTTATTCATTTCTTGATTCTTTCTTCCTTTTGGACTCTCTTTTCTTGTAATTGATATGACTTTTGTATCTTAAGAGCTTCTTTGGCTAGTTATAAAATTTTATTAAGAGAATATGTGGTTAAAAATGAGTTTGGAGAAAAATGTATTATTAAAAAAATTGGGCTCAAGCAAAAGCTTAATATGTTGAATTTAATTTTTACCCAATACTCTATTAGTACTTTCAGTTAATCCATTGCAATTTGGTTAATCTTCAATTTTTCCGAATTAACTCTGACTAAACTCCAAATAATAATTTTTTTTATAACAATTGTATCCAAATTGGGATTTTTCCTACACGTAACATAATTTACACAAATTAAGAAAATACCATTCAATTTATATATAAATAAATAAGAATAGAAACCCGAATGAATACAAGTGCATAGAATGCACTTATCAAATATTCTTTATGATTTAGTTATTTTCGTATCTTCGAATTGGGGTGAGAATCATGGATATATTTGATTTTACTTGGAAAAAATTATTGAACAACCTTAAATACCTCGCCTTGCATGCTCTTGCGAGTTTTTTTCCGTCATGTCAAGCACGGGGCATGACGCGTGGATGAATTGAGACCGTCGGGTCCTCTAGCTCCAATATAAGACAGAAGCACAAGACGTTTGCCGTATGGAAGTGTACAGAGTCATACTTAGCTAGAAAAAATTGTTGCTCCATCCACCTTTACGTCGGTAAAAAATCATTGTCAACAAATTAAATAGAGCAGGACAATTTGTACATAAAAGTCCCGTCAGAGATGGTTGCCGACTAACCACCATCAAAACAATTTGTCGAAAGTGTAGAATCATATTGGCTCAGTATCAATATATGTGATAGTGAACTTCATTAGCATATTGTCCAATGAATTTAGCTCCTGTTTGACTCTCTTTATTTAAAAAATTAAAGAGTTTCGGATAGTATTTTTGAAGAATGTGTAGTTAAAAAGTAATAAAGCTTTATTAGTTTGTGTATAGAATATTTTATTGTGAGAATGTGTGGTGGAAATGATACTGTAACAAATAATTTAAATTTTTAAAGATTATCAAATAGGGACTTAGCAAAATTACATTTTCGTGAATAATTTAAATCCACATGAATGGTGGTGCCATGTAGCATTATTTGAATTTAATGGTTGCTGAATTGAATCAGGTGATACCCCACCAACACACAGGTTATAAAAGGACAAAATTATACAACAAACTGCACGAGAAAATGCATTTATAGGGCCAAATTGCCGTTCATATAGTCAAAAAAGCATACGAAACGCCATTGCCAGAAAACTCATAAAATATGGGCAGATTCATTGATTGTCAGTCTTTCTTAAATTCTTTAACTTTTTGCTTTACAGTAAATAACATTTTACCTTATCAGGAAAAAGTAGAGTAATAAATCCAAAAGAAAGCTCTCTGATCAGAATTGCTTTGTTCATAGTCATGATTATATTCCTATCACCTTCCTCTTGAATTGTAATTTCAGCTGTTTAATTACTTTTCTGTTTTGCCATTTATGAGATTTACTGTGCTTTCAGATTGAAGGAACTTCTTCCTGCAAAACTCACTTATTATGCTCAAATTGGAGAGATGTACATTAATGGCTAACCATTCTGAGCAATAGCTACACTCTTCAATACTGTTCTTTAGTTATATGTCTCTGTCTAAACTTAGGGACCCCCCAAGAAACCTACAGTACTGACTGGGAGTGTAAAAATTTCTATCAAGTGGCTCCCACTCCAAGAAAATCAATGAATGCCAAGTTGCTCTCGTGTAATTTTCCATTCTGATAATCTTCTTGCCCAGACATGCAGAGATTGGCCCTGTTGTTGGCTACTGATTCAGATGCAGAAACTTCAGAGTGTGAGTTTGAATCTGAATGACCAGATTGATCCACTAACACGCCATTTGCCATTGGCCCTTTACCAACTTTTCCCTCTTCATTTAATCCTACAGCAGAAAGCAAAAAATAATCAGATATGAAACACCAAAATAAACAGAAAAAGATTGAATTCTTGAAGGAACAAATGGTAATTAATCACCTATTTGAGACTCGAGTAGATTATTACTAGAAACTGTTGTTGCACTTGATGCATTGCATATTTGGAGATCAGTCATGGGAAATCCCTCCGGTGAGAAATTGGATTTTCTTCTGTAAGTACTGTTTTGCTCTTTGTATTTTCTTGCCATGATCACATGCCAATGATTCTTGACTGCATTATCAGTTCTTCCGAGAAAGAGCTTGGCAATCAGGGACCATTTGTTGCCATACATTCTGTGTGCAGCCAAAAGTGCTTCTTCTTCTTCATCAGTGAAAGCACTTCTGTTAATCCTTGGATCCAACTGGTTAAACCATCTCAGTCTGCAACTTTTCCCTAATTAATCAACAAACAAACGAGTAAATAGGCAAAAAAAAAAAAAAAAGATTTAAACTTTTTGATTCCCAAGACTAAATTAATGTTTTTACCCGATCTTCCTTGAAGTTTCTCAGCAATGAGATTCCAGTTTTGAGGACCAAACTGGGCAACAAGTTCTTTGAGTTTAGCATCTTCATGAGGTCTCCAATGGCCTCTGGCACACAGTTTTGTGTGTGATCTTTTCCTCCAAATTTCCTCATCTTCAGTCCTGTAAATTTTCTTCTTGTTTACTCTTCCCTCTGCCCTTCTCTGATTTTGCTCTGTTGGTGCATTCAAATACTGAAACTCCATTCCACCACTCTCTTTATCCTGGAGAGAGTTCGCAGAAGGTGGGTTTATAAAGTTCATTTCTTGAGGAAATCTGTTGGAATTAGAAGAATTCATCAGAAATTGCATATTCATTCTTATCACTTTCACAATTTAAATGGACACAAAATAATTTAACTTTTTTTGAGTAGGAAAATCAGATTTTTCCCAGTAATCTTATGACAAAGCCTCAACAGAGAAGATACTTCTTATAGAGAAAGGCCCATTATGTAAAAAGATTTCAGATTTTCATTCCAAAGGTTACAGTAGATGAAAGAGAAAAATGGAGATGCATGGGTTTTTATAGAGCGAAACTGTAAAAAAACAAAAAGAAAAGGAGACGACGAAACATGAAACGCTTGAACAACGTTAATTCTCAAGTTCTTGATTTATTTGAGGATGGGGACGTGTCTTTAGTACTTGGGGAGTATTCAAATCATAATTTAAACACCTACTTTCAGACTTGAAAATGAAAACTACTCTCTCTCTAATTGCATATCTGTTTGTGTGTGTGCGTGGAAATCGAGAACCGCTCGTGTGGGTGTGGGTGTGGGTGTGGGTGGTGGTGGAGAGTTGGACTTGGGTTCTGTAACTGCACATCTTTCCCGATTTTAGAGAGAGAAACAGAATCTACTTCCTATACATTTTTTTTTTTTTTATTTTCTCTTTGACGATTATTCCTTTTATCAAAAAAAGGTTAAATCCTAACCTTAAGGGTTCCCGATCACCCCTGTCCTGGAGTATCGTGAGGAAAGTAAATCGCAGGTTATGCTTCCAAGGGTACAGGGTGGAAGGCTGCTTGTACACTTGCACTTACCCAAGAGCCAAATCCATATTTCAGAATTCGAACTTTTGACGCAGCAGTCTCAAGCAAAGTTAGATTTCTCCACCCTCCTCTTTTACCACTTGGAAATGTGCCCTGGGGGCCGATTATTCCTTTTATCGAGTCTTTTATAAGGGGTTATATGCATTATGGGTCACTTTGAACGAGAATGAATTTAGGTCATTCAACTTTAATTTGATACAATGATTTTGCTATAGATACATCAAAACAGAAAAACTGTTGGTCCAAGCTTGTTGACCAACTCAAATCCAGGGAGCTGAGATGTCACCACCTCAACTCTTGACTTGAATTCTATGAATTGAAATCAAGGGCTGAGGTGGTGACACCTCAACCCCCTGTTTTTGAGTTGGTCCCCAAGCCTGGACCAACAGCAGAACTCACATCAAAATTTACATCTTGATTTACATAATGGTCAAGTGATATTTCATTATTGCAAGTGAAAAATAGCTTTTTTCATTAGTTAATGATGAAGTACCACTTGAACATTATGTACACTTGGATCTACACTCTGATGTATATATAAAATAATTTTTGATACAATTATATAATCAAATTTTAATCGCCCAATTTTAATTTGCTTGCAAATCTTGTTATTTATCCACTGATATCATTTGGAAATGAACCATAATGAATTTGATGTTAAAAATAATGAGTTACGCATGTAAAAATGTGCTTTTACATTATATAGATTTTTCAAGAAAATATTTTAAAATGTGTGATGTGCATTATTGTCTGATATGGATGTATGTATATGATAGTCAATCGTTCGTTTCAATGTCCAATAAATAGACAAGGCATAACCTTATTGTACCAAGTTAAAATGAATGATTACATATGTAAATAAATTGAAATTGGATGATGAAATTGCTGTCCAATTGAAGATGAGTGACCTAGATATGTCTTCACTCAAAGTTGGATGACCTGCAATACATTTAACCCTTTTTATAAGTGAAACAAACTGACATCTTCAAATTAATTCCCCCAACTTACAGTAACATGTTCACTACGGTTTGTTGGAAAAATGGACTGAAGGGCTAACTTTGACATAAATTTTTGAGTGAGATTGTTTGTTTATTTTGAAAGATCAAGATTGATTTGTATTCTCCTTCGTGAGAACATCGAAATTATATATTTACTTGCCAAAAATGATAATCGGGTGAATGAGAAATTGGAGCTCAAAATGATGCATTGGAAAATGTTTTGTTTTGGATGGGATACTAATTTAATGTTATCCTATATAGGAAAATAGATACAAGTAATGACCACTTTAAATATGATTATACTTTAAAATGGTGAAATTATGTGTAGCATAGATACTCTCTCCACGTGCGCACCCAAGGGGTGCAAATTACGGATCGAAATAAGCATTGAACTTTGAACTTGTGTGCCAGCGCAACCTGTGCACATGAATATCAGACCGAATGGACCAAAAATTGGTCCTTTAAGAGAGTCTACGTTTTGCCTTTATTTTATTATTTTTCAAAAAAAAAATCCTTCGAAATTCTTTTTTGACTCCTGAGATTTATATGATTATGTCTATTTTAATGGAGAGACTAACAGCCGGGATAATGGTGATTATACAGGCCTCGGTAGGAAGTTCTTTCGCTCTTTTATTATTTCTTGCAATTTTAGATTACTTGTTCTAATCTTACTGCAAATAATAAAATTATTTTAATCTGCAATATTTTGTGTAACAAACTTAAAACGAATTCAAAAGTAGGAACAAATAGATTCATATTTGGTCTGACTAAAACTCATTTGATTTTTCAGAAATGGCAACCAACATAGATGTGACTCAAACTGTGGCTAATGAAAATCAGGCTATGAAGCCTATTGTGACTCAGACTATAGCTAAATTGCAAAGTCGTATTGTGAGTCAAATTGTGCTTCCAACAACTGGTCATACTTTTACTGTTCCAGTTAATCATAGAGAAAAATCGAAGAAATTCAACGACTTGAATTTCAAGAGATGGCAGCAAAAAATGTTATTTTACCCGACCACCTTGAATCTCGACAATGTGCTGTATATGTCGGAAGTCCGTAAGAACCTAGTGTTTGGGTTGATTCTAAATAAGCATGGTTTTCATATTGTATTTGAGTTGGACAAAGTTATTTTATCAAAAAGTGGAATGTTTGTTGAAAATGGTTATGTTTACGATGGTATTTTTTTTCTTTTTCTTTTTTTTTTATTTTAAAATTAGGCAAGCTCAAATCACCATTCACCTATAGACCATATCCATATGGTTATAAAACCAGATTACTTACCACTAGTCCACTACCGTCTACCAGAGGCAGACGTCCATATTCCACTTTCTAGAATCAGTTTCCCATTTTTCCCAAATCTTCATTTCCTTCCCATCATAACCGGCAGCCAGAGAGATCATAGAAGAGCAAACCTTCTTGAGTTCTTCCTCCAATTCCTTCTTGTCAAACCAGTCTTGGGCGGTTCACTAATTATCAATTGAGCTAGGCGCCGACGTGAACGATGAACCCACTGGTACGAATTGTGATATCATTTCAATTTCAAGTACAATGTTTTTTCTGGCATATTTATTGTTTAATTATTGATTTTTTTTTTTAGTAATTTGTTATGCTCTGTTTGATTCGTATTGATTTTTAGGGTTTTGAATTGCTTCAGCTTCGAGGCTTGCTTACTGTTTCAGAATTTTGTTGAAATTGGTTTTATTGTGATGTTTTTAGTTGAGCGGTTTAGAGATTTGTGGTTTTATTGAATCATTGAACCTGCTTGTTTGATGAAGCCCATTTTTATGATTTTGATAATTAGATAGATGATTTTTGTTGTTTTTATAATTTTGATTATATATATTATTTGATTGCAATGCAAAATTACTGCAGTTAGTAAAAAAGTTAATAAATGGTGGAAAGTAATGGGGAGAAACAGGTTCGAAAATGAAAGTTTTCATCTTTACACTGAACCTATGGTGCTAATTGAATTGTTGATTTGTCTAGATATGCTCAATCCAAACATGAATGTTGAATTGTTGATTTTTTAATCAATTCTAATTGAAAATTAAATTGGGGAATTTTGCAGATTATGGAATGATTTTTTCAACCGAAACGAAAGTCTATACCTAGTTCTCCTAGTTCTAGTTGTGCTTCTAGTCCCGCTACTGCTTCTAGCCAAGTACACGAGTTGTTAAATAACACAAAGAAGTCTCGGGCTCAAGTCAATGTGGATGAACTTGTGTCTGATCCAGGAATACGCTCCCTATCGAGTCATATGATCTTAATATCAGAGATGATGTAAGGATGACATACTTAGAAAAAGGTCCTTGTCAACTACATGGACGTGACTTTCCGAAGAAGATGGATAGGAAATGAATATAGGTGTTTTCGAAAAGCATGATTTTCTGAATTTTATTGGTTCGAGTACAATATAAAAAATGATGCGGTTTATTGTTTACGTTGCTACTTGTTCAAACCTGATAGAGAGGGTCAAGGGGTTGGACATATATTCACTAAGATTGGCTTTAGGGATCAAAAGCACAAAAATGTATTGAAAGATCATGTCAGGCTGCTCATAATCAAGCTTTTGCAAAGTGTATCAACTTGATTAATCAAAAGCAAAGTATCTCCTATGTTATTTCTAGCCAAAGTAGTAGTCAACAAAAAAGTTATAGGACAAGGTTGACTGCGGTGCTAGATTGTAGTAGATTTCTCTTGATGCAAGGATTATCATCTCGTGGTCATGATAAATTGAAAGAGTCTCTTAATAAAGGAAATATAATTGAGCTACTAAATTGGTATGTAGCTCGTTGTGAGGAAATTAATGAAGTAGTATTTAGTAATGCTCCTGCAAATGAACAAATGACTTTACCAAGTATCCATAAGGATTTGGTTAATTGTTGTGCTGTAGAGATGACAAAGTCTATTATCAATGAGATGGATGATTCTTTGTTTTTCATTTTGGTTGATGAGGCTCGTGATAATTCTATAAAAGAACAAATGGAAGTTGTTTTGAGGTTTGTTGACAAAAGTAGGCAAGTGAAGGAGCGTTTGTTGGGCATTTCCCATATCACTGATACTTGTGCCTAATCACTCAAGGATGCCATTGATGCAATGCTTTCTACACATGGGTTGAGCATATCTAGCCTGAGAGGCTAAGGTTACGATGGAGCAAGCAATATGTCAGATGAGTTCAATGGCTTGAAAGCTTTATTTTTAATAGAGAACCCATATGCCATGTATGTTCATTGCCTTACTCATCAGCTTCAGTTAACAGCTGTTTTTGTGGCACATAGGAATGTTATGCTTGGTGATTTATTTAACATGCTTGCCGTTATTTTGAATTTGGTTGGTGCTTCATATAAACGTGTAGATGCTCTTCGAACAAGTTATCATTCAGAAATTTTGGAAAGGCTTAATATTGGGGAACTTTTTGGTGGAACTGTTCAATTTCAAGAAATGAGTTTGGCACGCCCAGATAATACTAGATGGGGCTCACATCTAACGACAATTACTCGCTTTATTAGTATATTTAATGCGATCATAGATATTCTTGAGAATATATCATAAAACAGCATAAGTTAGATAAACAATCAATTGCCGTATGACAGATGGACACTATGCAAGATTTTCAGTTTGTGTTCAGTCTCTATTTTATTTTTGAAATTCTTGC